TTTTTTTTTTTTTTTTGAAAAAAAAAGAAACTACATTTATTTTTCTCGTCCGACCTCTTCACCACCGATCAACACCTCGCGGTCGACGGTAGTCTTGAAGGTTTCAACCACCTCGATATTTAGGCATATAATCTTTATGGTAAGTATTATGGGTTTGAATTTTGTAGTATAATGTTAATTTCGTATGTGATGCTTGTAAATTCGTGTCGTTTCGTATATTTAATCTCATAAATGATGTGATTTCCCAAAACCCTAATTGAACCCTCCGATGATTGATTGTTGTTGTTGATATTAGGTTGATCGTGGCTAAGGTTACGAGTTAGAGGTTTTGTAGATCACGTTTTTGCTTAATTTTTTTTAGCTGTAATTGGTGACAAAGTTAAAGATTAGACTTAACATTTTCATTGATCATTATTTTCAGAAAGCATTAGAGCTGGCTTGTGATATTTTTAACTGTGAAGATAGTGGGTTTTGTGAAGTTAATGGTTTTGAATCTAGCATGGGATTGCGAATTCATCGAATGGCAAATGCGTTGAGTTTGTGTTATTTTCGGTTTTTTCACAGAAGTGCAATTTATTGTTTTCTGTTGGTAGTTTAGTTGAGCTGTTAATTTCACTGGTAATCTGTGGGAAAATTTTTGCAACGAGTACATGTTGCATTTAGAATCAGATATATTTTAAGCTTTTCTTAAACGAAGGTGGACATAGTGTTCTTAGATTTTGCTCAGCTAGTTAGTGAGCTTAATAATGTCATATGACAGCATAAATGTACTTCACTTATGGACTTGGTAGCTCAAATGAAACTTACCTTGTGAGCGAATTCACTAATGTACTTATATAGTTATTTCTGGAGATTTAACAACTTTACGAAAATTTTTCAGTCTTTTAAGGTTCCATTGCTATAGAATCGATTGTTTTATTAAGTTGACTTCAGTTAATGTTAAAATCTTTTCTGTTTGAGCAGCATTTATGAATTGATTCTGGAAGATTTTTTACTCTTATACTGCATAATAGTATATTTAGGAGTAGCTTAAAATACATAATTTTGACTTCAGAATCAACTGGCACATGCATTCAATCAAAATAATGCAACGTCTGCTGAATCTAATTTACTGCTATCTGTTAGATGCGAAATTCACTTTTAGATATCTATTTGCATGAAGCTTTTCTGAGTCTCGTAAGTTGCTTTATACTATCTTTCTTTTTATGGACTTACCATAGGTTTGTGATTTACTTTCAAATGTACATGCATAATTTTTTTAGGCTAGATTCTGGTTTTGCAGGTCTGTCATTGCTCCTTTGTTTTATTCAGTACTTAAAGCAGTAGGTTTGATGCATATGCTTTACAGTGACTCAACATTGCCATGCACGATCGTGTTAACTGGTTTTTCAACACGGATACTGTGTGGAAACTGATGCCATGTCTGCATCTAGCAAATTTGATCTTTCTTCTGGTAGCCCAGATAGGCCATTATATGCATCTGGGAATCGTGGATCCTATGGTACTCCTTCAATGGACAGATCAGGTAGCTTCCGTGAAAACACAGAGAATCCTCTTTTATCGAGTCTGCCGAACATGACGCGGACCAGTTCTTCTGTAACTCAAGGGGATGTACTCAACTTCTTCCAATGTGTGCGTATCGATCCAAAATCTATGGTGGTAGAGCATAAGTTGAATCGGCCAGCAGAATTCAAACGAATTGCAAGTGCTGCAGTTGGCATTCCACTGGAAGATTCTCTACCTGCATCTGCAAAAGGAAAACAGCTGTCCACCCCCTCACTAGAGGATCTCAGGAGACTTAAATCTGGAGTGCGGGAAAGTGGTACTAAAGCTAGGTAATTGTCTTTTTTGTTTTGTTTTTTTCTTGCTTCTTTTCCTCTTTCCTTTGTTACATGACCGGTATATTGATATGTTGCAACCACAATAGGGAACGTGTGAAGATATTTAATGACTGTTTATCAGTAATTAACAAGTGTTTCCCGGCTATTCCATCGAGGAAAAGATCCCGACTTGATGCCTTGTCCAATGATCGATCAAATACCTTGTTGTCAATTGATCGGTCGTCATCCGGAATGGGCATGGGGAAAACAGCCTCTCAGAATCATGCAAGTACAAGTGGTTTTGAGCTGGAGCAACAGAGACCTGAAGAAAGGACCAAGGGTGCTATTCCAAGCAAGCGTACTAGAACTTCTATGGCTGACGCAAGGGTTGGCTTTTTTTTTTTCTTAATTAATTTCCTATTTGTTTCATTTCTCCCATTTTCTTTCACTGTTTGATGCTTCCTGTAACTTTCTTCATGTCTTATGCGCAGAGCTGATACGCTGCTATGATTATCTAGCTTATTTGTTTTTCTCTCTCTTAGTTCTCTTCAGCCTCATATTGAAATTTAAGGGATTGGCTTTTGTGACGTCCTTATTTAGCTGCGAAGGCCGATTTGAATTTGAACTTTTTGCCCAATTGGACTTCTTCTTTTTTTTT